ATTATGTATGTGTCATTGCCGATTCTTGTAAGTTTCATTTGTTTATTGGGTGAGTTTAATTTTTTACAAAAAGTGTACGCTTGTGAACCTTCCTGAAGAATTTCGTTACTTAAAGTATAAGTATTTACAAATAAAGACATCCCATAATATATTTGGAGTTCAGCTGCTTTACTACCGTGCACAAGTGCCTTAAGTTTGCCATTAATGTCTTCGAAAGGAAAACAATTGTACACCCATAATGGTCCTTTCGTACGAACCTCATCTGCAAAATGGAGTAACGAATGAAGATTGCAGGACATATGTTCCATGCCATATAATTGCCGAAATTTAGATACATATTCCTTTAGAAGACGCGAAGAATCGTTTATCATACTTTCCGAAATACTCTGTTCACAAAGTAAATGTATTCCTATAACTAAATTTTGAAAATGTTCAAAATACTCAGGGTGTAAGATGTCTTTCAAAATAGGCAAGGAAAAGTAGAAAAAGAAGTTTTTGAGTTCTGATGCTTTCCAATAGTTAAGATGTTCTAAAATTGATCTTGGTTTTCTTTGTACGAATTCCGGTGGTAAAAGAAGTTTTAATCTTTCGTCAACTACATGAACAAATTGAGAAAACGAAAAACGTTCAGCACTGTACATTGGATCGAACCATAATTGTAGGAGTTTTTTCAAAATTCCTATAAATACACAGTGCATGCTGTCTAAAGCAGTAGATTTGATCCATGAATAAGCTATTCTAGAAATTATGGTAGAACCCTTAACACCCATTTCTACTTTATTATTTAACTCAGCAGACTGTGCATGTGCTAATGTTTCATCTTCAGTTCGAAGGGGTAAATTTGCTTTGTAGGGATAAACTTGTCGATTTTTTACCCTTCGAGTACGAATTTTACACTTTTGACAACCGTTATGACTGTTATATTGTTGCATATTCAGAAATAGGGCTTTAGCAGGTAAATCACAAGTACCTGCAATAATTATACCTCTAACAAATCTAGGTTCTACAGAATCTGGAATATTGAATTCAACTCCATTTAATAACTGCTGGATTTCCTCATAAGCGGGCGATAAAAACAAATTTGCATTTGGTTTTTTGTCCCCAAACCATAATCCAACAATTATTAAATTTTCTTTCTTGAATCTTTGATCGTAAGGCAATTCATTGATAACAAGATATACAGGCCAGAATGAGAATTTGGAAGATTTAAATAGTGGTACACCGTCTGTGTACCATGTAAAAGATATGTTATTTTCATCTGATAAAATTTCACCTTCTCGGCTCAATTCCTTATATAAGCAACCGTCATAAATATCCTCATAATTTTCCTCTATACGTTTAACCCTATTTTGACGATAAGACAATTTTTCACTAAATCCGCGACGACTAAACATTGCCTGAAGTTGTGAGATAATTGACAATGTTATAAAATAATTTCTCTGAGTTAACTCTAAACATCTTACGCATTCATCGTGTTCATTTCTCAAATTATTAAAACAAATTTCACAATAAAAATGTGTAGTTAATGGAGATTGGTAATCTTCGAAATATTTTTTAAAGTAATATAGAGATTCTACACAAAAATTTGGCTGTGGGCAATGCATGGCAATCAGAGTTAAAATGGATGCTAAAAGAACACCCGATATTTTAAATCTTGTCACTAACGCTAAAATTGATAACAGACTTTCAGATAATGAAATTGGTGCTCCTTGATATAAAGGAGGATCATTTTCTTCATGCTCCATGTTGTCTCTTTCTTCGCTATCTTCAGAAGATGTATCAGATTCAGCTATCAACTCTTCATCAGAAGATAAGTTCAATTCTTCATTGTTCATTAGATCTATTTATTTATAAAATTTTTAATTAAAGTTTAAATCTTTAAATAACTTGATATTTATAAAATTATTTATATTCCTTTTAAACAACTCTACAATTGTTTAAATATCTGTGTGGTAAAGCAGTAGAAACTTATTTTCTGAAGAATATATTAAATTATTAATTTAAATCAAGATTCTCAGTAGAGAATCGCCGCTAAGTGAAAAAAAGCCGCGAATATATATATTTTAAATGTCAATTAAATATTTTTCCAAAAAGTCTCATGACATGAGAAGGTATTACCCGTACAGAAAATGCCCCACTTTGCCCTTATTAAACAGGGTTCTGGTCGGGGCCTCGACAGTTTTCCCTATTAAAAATGTTTTTTTTAATAAAGTTTTTAGAATTCCTTTTTGTTGTAGAAGCTATTAACAATGAAAGGCAATCATTATTTTAGTTATTTCATAATTTTTTTATTTTAGGGGTTTGACTAGAATTCCTAGCCAGAATCCCAGGTAGGGTGTTCATTAGAATTTAGATAGGGTACTGGTCAGGGCCTCGACAGTTTTCCTTGTTTAAATAAAGTGTAAAAAATTAAGTATCTAAAATTACTTTTAATAAAAAATAATGAACAATTGAAGAATACAATTAAAGGGAGTAATTATACTATCGTTTTAATAATTTTTTTATTTTGTGGGTTTGACCAGAATTTCTGGCCAAAACACCAAGTGAGGTGTTCACTAGATATGAAATAGGGCTCTGATCAGGGCCTCGACAGTTTTCCTCGTTTTAAAAGCATGTAAATAAATAAAATTTTTTAAAATTACCTTTTTCAAAACAGTTATTTAAGTTAAAAAGCGTGTTCTTTTAAAACACTTTATAAATTAATTATGGCAATATATTTAAAAAACGAAAATACATATAATTTTTTTCTTCAAGTACAATATTATAATAAAGTTTATTTGTTAATAATAACTAATAAACAATTATTAATAAATTGTACTTAATGAATCTTAATAATTATTAATTTATAGGATGAATTTATCATTTGGTTTGTATATATATTATATTATTTTCATAATAATTATTATTTTATATTATATTAGCTTAAAGTGAGAAAATGATTCGGAGAGATTGTTAAATTCAACACCTTCAATATTTAATAACTATTTTTTAAACATAATTAATAAATTTGAATAAAATATTTATTAAATAAATATTAATCATTACATATACATTTAAAAACAAAAATTATAACCTTTATTAATATTATAAAATTAGGGAGGCAGAAAGGAGCGAAAATCTCCAAAAAAATGAATTAATCATAAAACCAAAAATTATATTTTTCAAAAATTTTTAAGTTTTCCTATTCTTGAAATTATATTATTTTTATCTTTTTCACTTTTAAATTAGTCAAAATGACTATAATACCTCATTATGTTATGTATAAATATGTTGTATATATAATGAATATGTTCATTATGTTTCAAATAAAATAATATTTTTAATTGCAGTAATTTTATTGTATTGTCTTTTGAATAAAATTAACCTCACAAAATAGGGCAATTTTAAGAAAAACTGACGAGGCCCTGACCAGTTTTTCCCTAAGTAGGGCATTGGTCGGGAACAGCGTCACACACTAGTCGGGCACTGGTCAGTTTCTCTACCCAGAGCCACACCAGAGATCGGGAAAACTGTCCAGTACCCTATCAGGCCCACATTTTAATTTCTACACGGGTAGTTTTATTTTTTGTAACGAATATTGAATAGAATTCGTTCGGAAAAATAGTTGGAAATTATTTTTTAAAAAGTTTACAGCAAATATTATGTACAGAATTATAATCGACTTCCTAGCGGAATTTCGATAAAAAAAAGTATTTAAAAATTCGTTAAAAATTAGCACGAGTTTTGTACGAAATTCGCTCAGAAAAGTGATCAGAAATTAAAATTAAAAATTACTATCAGATACCTTTTTTGCAAAAGAATTAGGTCGCAAAAATGAATGGATATTATATTTAAAAATTTTACAGCAAACATTACATGCAGAATTTTCAAAACTCAATACGATTCCGATTGGAATTTAACACTAAATATGAACAAATTTTGGGCGAAAATTGGAATAATTTTTACTTTTGGGTAATGAGAACTTCATAAATAATAAAACCTATTTTTTTAAACGTTGGAAAATAATTTTACCATCTTCAGCATCAT